ATGTATAGACTTTGGAAAACTCCTTCACAAACTCCAAGCTCCACAATTGAATGAAACCTTTATTCCAACCAATCAGAGTGGCACAAAAGCGCATGCATGTTTTTGAGTTCTGCAGAAACTTTCATCAAATGTGTTGTCTCTGTGGTGTTTTGGAATAAATACTGTGAACATACAATGCTGATAAAACATTAATAAATAAAAGGCTACGCTCTTGAGGCACTAGCAGTTAAGTATTTATCAAGGCTGCTGTAGTATATAGATATCTCTTTATGTCAGCAAGTTATATCTCTTTTTTATATTTAAATGAGAGCTGAAGCATTGGTAGTGATAGCAAACTACAACTAATGGCAATATTACAGAGTAAGAGTTTATGCACATATTTGTGAATGAGCTGGCTTGGCAGGTGCGTAACAGATGGTTTAGGGCAGTGGAGATTCAGCATGGACAGTATTCAGTTAGTCTATCTGAAGAATCAGGTCATCTAGTAACATAAACTGGCACTGATTTAGTGCTGCCCTCATCCAGAAGGCAGGAAGGACAAAGAGGAGCCATCCCTTAGACTCCAGCAGCAACACAAATCACTTCCACTGTTGTTGTCTCAAGTTGACAGGGCCACTCTCTTCTTCCAGATCACTAAACTGATTGCAGAAAATGTGTGTTCCCTTTACCACCCCCAGCCAAAAATGACCTCGTGCAGCTAGTTTGGAAGGAGCAAGAGCACTGCAGGAGGCAGGGTATACTTTCCTTAGGGTTATTTCACCAAGGGTCTGCTTGCTGGGGCAGAAAGTACGAGATTCATTATATCAGGATGTAAAGATGACCACTAACTCTGAGAACTATAAAAGAGGATTGAACAAATTAATTGAGGATAAAGGTGTCAGAAACTACTGAAGATCAAATTGTGACTATATATTACCTCAATTGTCTGAAATAGTCTGACCCATTTTGGATAAAACAGGAAGGAGGATGCATCTCCTCGTGGCCTGCTTGACAGTGACTAGGCTACTGTGCAAATGGTTGGTTGGACTACATAGTTCTTTCATCTGATGAACACATATCTTTTGCTTCGACTTTCCTGAATAGTTGGCAGCCCAAGAAGTTTGACATCTTTAAAAATTAACATCTTCTTAGTCCTGGTCAATTGACCTTATAGTTGAAGAATGTAGTTATGCAAGGTTATTCATTTAAAAAAACACAGAGCAAATATTTTTTTAAAAGCAAAATAATAATAAGCAAAAACAGGTCAGCAAAAGAATACGCAAGAAGAAAGAATGTAAACCTGAGAAGAAACCAGTTCCTAAAAAGATATAGATCAATTTATTTGAACAACCAAACATAATCACTATATTAGAGTTTTCCTTCCCACCCCTCCTTCATGTTGAGGATAAGAATTGCCTTATAAGCTACTTTGGGAACAGCTTTTTTGGTGATAATTCTGTAAAGAAATGAACTAATGTGGCAAAACCTAGGGTAGACCTACAGACAGTGAAAACAAAGCACTATATGACACTTTATTTCAAATAGTATTTTGAATACCTATAAAGTCAACTCTCTATATGCATGGGTTCAGCATCCATGGATTCAACCACCCACACCTTATACATATTTGGGGGGGGGGGACTTACATAATGAGCTTTACTTACTTAGGCAATCCTTCATAGTCTGAGGATGATGGTCCTCCAAGTTCGGTGGGTCCGTAGGTGACTGTGGACCTCTGTTCTTGATCTGTATGTTCTCCCACAGTGAGGGCATCAGTTTCCAGGTGGAAAGCGGTCCCAGTTGGGGTTGGCTTGATGCGTCTTCCTCTTGGCACATTTCTCTCTTTCACCCTCCATTCGTGCCTCTTCAAATTCTACAGCACTGCTGGTCACAGCTGACCTCCAACTGGAGTGCTCAAGGGCCAGGGCTTCCATGCTGATGTGTAGGTATACCCTGCCATAACCTTGCATCGTTTCATAGCTCCTTGGGCTTTCTCTGGGATACATTTAGTTTGTCGTTTTACACAAGTTCATCATTTTACTACAGCATTGTATATAATGGTACCTAAACATCAATGGCTTTTTTGTATCCATGGAGGGACACGGAACCAAAATCCAATGGGTACGAATGTCCTGCTGTATGTGCATTCACAGCCCAGTCCCATGTGCCTATACTTAAAGATACAGTGCAGTGTTGCTGTTTTTTTAATTGGTTAACATTTCAAAACTCGGACTGGTATCCTATTGAAAAGTTACATCATTGTAAACCAACTTACAATCATGTAAATCTGATATACAATGTTAATAATCTCAGAAGGGGAGGGGAGTTGTAACTATGCCTATGAAAGCATTGCAAAAGCAGAGTCAGAAGCATGATCATGCTATGAGTTATCCTATTATGCAGTGTGCCCCAATACAAAACATGTCCCAATCCACTATACCTGCCTCCACCAGTCACTTCTTTCCAGGATGAAGTGGAACCACTGGTGAGCATCCTTTGGGTTCAGTCGCTTAACCAATTATATATCCATCTAATAGTAGCATTGCCTAGCCCACATTTGACTAATTTCTTTGAAAGAAGATCATGGGGGACCTTCTCAAAGGCCTTACTGAAATCAAGATATGCTACATCCACAGCATTCCCTGCATCTACCAAGCTTGTAACTCTATTGACAAAAGACATAAGATTAGTCTGGCATGACTTGTTTTTGAGAAATCCATGTTGACGTTTAGTAATCACAGCATTCTTTTCTAAGTGATTGCAGACTGCCTTCTTAATGATGAGCTCCAGAATCTTTCCTGGTATTGATGTCAGGCTGACTGGATGATCATTGTTTGGGTCCTCTTTTTTTCCCTGCTTGAAGATAGGGACAACATTTGTCCTCCTCCAGTCTGCTAGGACTTCTCCTGTTCTTCAAGAATTCTCAAAGATTATTGCCAGTGGTTCTGAAATATTTTCTGTTAGTTCCTTCAATACTTTTGGATGTAGTTCATCTGGCCCTGGAGACTTGGTTTTTAAAATTATTTTATTCATTTTTGACATACACCGATTTATATTTATATAATGGGGATGTTCATTAGGATTGAAAGGCAGTCTAAAAATGCTCTTTTTTAATGTTGCTAAATTTTCTTCTGCCACTTTGCCCCCTTTTAGATCTAATAATTAAAACAGGCTCCTCTTTATATGAGGAAACGTAACCTCCTCTGGCCATTGAAATACTATACTGATGCCTTCCCTGGCATCTGAATTTTTGGAAAACCCCAATCTCTTTGACTCTCGTGTGTCAAAATGAATATTGCCTTGATGAAAAGGGCTAAGGGCAAGACATATATAGTGCTGTGATTTATGGAAGCAGGGGAGGGGTGATATTGTTCATGGCTAGTCCAGGTTGTCAAAGAAATGTAGACCAGAAGCTCTGATGTGGAAGGGGCCCAGTAGCCTAAAGCTCCCTTTTTCCAGGAGGAGATCATAAGGTGAGGGAAATGTTAAAGACAGCAGAAGTGATAGGGAAGAAAGTCAAATGACCCTGAAAGGGCATTAAGAGAAACAAGGAGGGTGGGGAGACATAGGAATTGGTGAAAAACAAACAATATGTCATCAGGGATACCTACATCCAAACAGATGTCTTCTCATACTATCACCTACATATATTCTACCACCCTGTATTTATTTCCAGAGATATGTTGGGAGTCTTTTGAGAATACTTCCAGTAAAACAACAATGCACAAAAAGGGTGTAAATGTCTTTCTCCCTCTCTGTCCCCCCCTCACTTTTTTGTTTACATTTTTCTAATGGTATAATTTAATGCATTTTAATACAGCCCAACTATATGCTTGATTTTTGATGGGATTCCCTTGCACTAGAAGGTTAATTGGTTCTAATTGTGTGCCCTGTGACACCTTCCCTTCAGAATTGTTCATGGTACATCATAATCAACCATCATCATCATGTCCAGAGGAAACACACCATGATCCATACAGGTTGACTACAAAACACACAGCAGTGCAAACGTTCCCAAAATAATTTATTATTGTACTTGTATTACACCTTTATCATACATACCTAGTCCAGGATGTGTTGAACTGATATGGGTCATGAATGGGAAAGTCTCAGGAGCCACCATTGTTTTAAGAGACTGGGAACCTTTTATGGACCTTTTGTGTAAAAAGAAGAATGAGTTGATTTAAAAAGAGACCTCTTGCAAGTAACAGAGCAATGAATATGACTATGAGGCAATTCTATTAAGTCAGATACGAATTGGTTCAAAAAGAGCTTGGGCAATCAGAGACAGAGAGAAATATCATTTAGGAAGAGAGGAATTAATATGATTTGTAGGGTTTGGGAGGAGCCCCTGGTGGTGCAGTGAGATAAACCACTGATCTTGCTGACCGAAAGGTCAACGGTTTGAATCCGGGGAGAGGGTGAGGTCCCACTGTTAGCCCCAGCTTCTGCCAACCTGGCAGTTCAAAAACATGCAAATGTGAGTAGATCAGTAGGTACTACTTCTGTCTGAAGATAATGGTGCTCCATTCAGTCAGGCCAGCCACATAACCTTGGAGACATCTACAGACAATAATAGCTCTTCAGCTTAGAAATGGACATGAGCATCACCCCCAGAGTCGGACACAACTAGACTTAATGTCAAGGGGAAACCTTTAGCTTTTGGGGGGATTGGGGAGTATGAAGTATGGAAAGAGTTCAAGGGGTTCTTTACTGGGCTTACTTTCTACATCTTGTGTTTTGATTTTTTATCTTAATTGATGAGAAGTGGTAATGCGCTAACCATTGAATAACAACAACCTGTTGTCTGTTATTAAGGTCACCATGAGGCCTGAAAACTAGATCCACAGAGGACTCCTGAAAGTAAAGGGAGAAAGGATGTGATAGGAGCCCAAGGGTTGGAACTACAGGGAGAAAGATGCCACCTCAAAGTGCAAATGCGAAGGATCCCATTTGTCTCCAAAGGGCATTTAAATCATAAGGAAATGCTCTCCACTTTTATAATATGATAATAGCACATGCCTTCCATCCACTAGGAGACACTGCTGCTTCTCCAGCTTCTTCTTCTTTTAGCCACCTCCTCATGCAATTCCTGGAATGATACAGTTGAAAGAAATTGACTTAGTACACACCAGAACTGTAATACAATACTTTTATGAAAACTAAGGAAGATGTAAGAATCAGCATCAGACAAAAAATGTAAAGGATTTTAGTATTCGTGCAGGTAGCTCTCTTCCCACTGCTTTTTATGATTCATGGGTAAATTTAATTTTTTAAAGAAAATGGGAATGCAGTGGGTTAATTATTAATATGCAAATTTGTGCCATGTTTTCCAAACCAAGTACAAGAAAAGCAAAGACTTTCTTCAAGAATATGAATCTCTTTGAGATTAAAGAACACAATTTTATTTTGCATATATTAACATTGAAAAACTGTAATCACGCAAAAGCAAATGTTCTGCATGCATAAAAGCCCATGCTTAACAGTCTTTACATGCTGCTCAAGAGCTATTTTCAGATTAATTTGGGAAACAGCACTGAAGAGTAATTCAGAGTGCTCCGCTACCCAGACTACAGTTTGAAAAAGGTTCACCTTAAATAAATAATGTGATCTTCATCAAACTGTATTGTTTTAATATTTAACAATAATTTGCCTTAATTCAAATTCAACTTCTAATTACCATGTATAACTGGAGCACTTTCTTTTCAAAAAGGTGTAATTAGGTTATGCCCCCAACTCCCAGTTACCTGATTAGAAGTGGTGAGCCTCCTTCACACCAGAGGTTTGAAACCCATGTTTTTTTATTCATGTATTAATCACAAGGAATTCATCTGCTTCATTATGTTATGATGGAGTATTGATAATGATCTCCATATTAAAAATAGGTACATTCCCATCCTACTTAAGACCTTCTAAATCCCTTTGATTTCAGGAGAGAGTAAACCATGGCCCAATGGGAGAGCACAGGCTTTGCATACAGAGGCATAGTTTCTTGTTCAGCATCTCCAGAGAAAAATAGGTGATAGCAGGTGATGGGTAAAACCCCTCTATGCTTGAGAGCATGTAGAGCAGGGGTTGGAAACTTCAGATCCTGAGATTGAATCTACCCCTCCTAAGGTCCCAGTTTGGCCTTCTGACCTCCATCCCCAAAACATCATGACTTTTTGGTTTCCCAGTATTTGTATTTTTCTTTTCCTTATTTTGTAAGGTTGATATCCATCTCTGAATGTTCAGTTACAACAAATAAGAGTTAAACTATTGGTATACTGGTATTTTTTGTTCCACCTTTTGTATTTGGCCCATGCCAGCAATCTCTGAAACTAAATTTGGCTTAAAAGAACATGCCTACTAATGGGATATCATATGAACGGGCAAAGTCTGCTAGTCTTTGCTCCAAAATGTCCTCTGTGAGTGTGAATCTTAGGGGTCAAACAACATTTTTTGCAATGTTTTTCAAAAACTTTTTTGTTGCCCCAAGATGTCCCAACATATGCTCTAAAGAATTTTGGAAGCATTTTCAAGACACCATTGGGAGGCCCCAGGACCAGTTTAGACCAATGGCTAGGGTTTTTTTTATAACAGGATGAGCTCTGCTCACTCCCTGTTTTTTAAAAAGACACAAACCCAATGTGAAAATAGTCCCATGTCTCATATATGGTGCCTGAAAGCAAAACTAAATTCTTGTGGGACTGGGTACAGTAGGGCTTCAACCGTAAGGATTCCTAAGAGCCCAATGCCTTCCACAGTTGCCTATCCCTGTGTACAATGTCACATTAGCTGGATTAATATAGTGAACTGATATAGGAACATAGAAAACTCCAATTGCCAACAGTAACAGCAGAAACATTTTTTTGTTTCATATAGGTATCTTTTTTTCAGAGATCCAGCATGGTATGATGGTTTTGAGTGTTGGACCAACTCTTGAGGCCATGTTTCAAATCTCTATTTGGCCATGGAAACTCACTGGGTTACTTTAGGCAAGTCACAATCTCTCAGCCTCAGAAGAAGGTAAAGACAACACTCCTCTGAATAAATCTTTCCAAGCAAACAAAGCATATTTTCTAGATGTAGATGACATATATAAAACCTGGGTACATTTGCATGAGGTACAACTGTAGGAATTACAATCCATCTCTACAGTTCCCTATGATTCCAGATGAAAATTAATGGAAATGTTTGCTTTATATGGGTTAAGCCTTCTCTGTCTCATCAAAATGCTTATAGTTAAAACTGATTTACAATACATCTTCCCTATCCATGGGAAATACTTTCCAAGACCCCCTGTGGATACCAGAAACCACAGATAATAAGTAAAACCATGTATATCAAGTTCCTAGATAAAGGGGGCATATTGCATTTCTATTTTACTTCATAAACATTTAGCAACAGATACAAATAATAATAATAATAATAATAATAATAATAATAAAATAACAATAATAAATAAAACTTTCTTTATAACCTGCCCTCTCTCCCTGAAGGGACTCAGGGCGGTTTACAAGAATAAGACACATGGCTAACATGCAATGCCTAATAAATAACAACAATCACTGCAAAACAAATAAAATAAACACAATATAACTTATAAACAACCAAAGAAATAGGAAAATGTTTAAAATGCAACCTTGCTTAGACACTCAACCAATCCATTTTTAAAGTTTCAGAACCAGTTATAGCATCAGGGCATCTATATTTATATATGAGTTGCCAAAATTGATTTAACCTGTAAAGCTTACACAAAACAAGCTGAATTTTACCCTGAGGGAAAAACAAACAAACTTTCAGAATATAATCAGTTGTTATGTTTCCTTTTGCCTACTGGAACAACTATCAGGATGGGTTATATGAACATAACTGGGGCCAAGGGATACAGCTTGTGATTTTGTTCCAAATTTATTACTGGAATGTAGAATTCAGATTTAATAAAGCACATGCTTTTTTCCCCCATGCCGTAAAACCGGAAGGTCTGTGTCTTTCATTTGTAGAAATTTAGCATGGAAGTGAAAATAATACCAAGGTTAGGGGCACCACAGGGAAACTGTTAATGTGGGAACAAAGGGCAAGCGGCCAGTTAAAATAATAAATGGTGGTGCAGATTTCCCAGAAATGGCTGAATCCCAAGTGATCTTTCCATCCAGACCCACGATAGGCCTTTCAACAGCCTGTGGTTTGGCACAATAAGAAATAGTAAACTCACTTTTATATAAAGGAACGAAATATAATTAGCCATCACAACAAAGGCATACAGTAGATAATGCTGCATATTAAAAAAGCATTACACTCTACCATGAAAAATAACTGAACATTGGTCTGCAGTAATCCTAGAAAGGTAGTTAAAGAAACTTCCTATATAGTATTTCTCATAGGGCACTTTAGGATGTAGGCTTGCTTCTAGGGTTGCCAGTCCAAGATGTTTCCATGCACTGAAGTTTCCAGGTCAAAATCTGAGACCTAAGGGCAACTTCTGGTGAAGTGGTCACACCTTATAATTTAGCACAGTTGGTCACACCTTATCATTCAAACACATATACTCACATATAAAGGGAGAAACAAAGAAAGAACATATTTTCCTGTTTGAATATTAATACAGAAATCTTATTTCTGAGTTCAAGGTAAAATGAGGTGTTATTCCTCCCAACTTAAATTAGGCAGATGGGATAAGGGGTATTTAATCTAGCCTACTTGCATCTAGCCAGAAGGTCAATGGCAAACAAGGAATGAGCCCTGAGACCTCAACTGTGAGGGATGCAGGAAACTAACTAAATAAAAAAGCATTGATTGTGCTGGAGAGTCTTTGCATGTTGCAGCAACAAATCAATTAAACCTCCTTTTTGCTTGCATAGAACTGAGACCCCCCCCCCCCTCCAAAGAAAGCCCCCTAGAAAATCTATACACTTGTCTCACATCTGGAGATTACCCACAAAATTAGACACTACAGGCCAGACCCTGGAATCTGGCAACCTTTTTCTGAAAATCTAAAACAAAAACTTTTTGGGGTAGAGGGAATTATTTCAGAATGAACAGTTGACCCTCCATGTTCATGTGAGTTTAGGGCATAGGATCCCTTGCAAAACTGAAAAATACTATGAATCTATTTTTTGATCCAAGAAAACATTTCTCTAAGAATCTTTAGGTCCTCCAAGATGACTCTTCTGATGGAGGTTGACAATTGTGTCACCCTGAAAGACTGGTATTATTAGATAGAATACATTTATCAAATCCATAAAACTTAAGCTCGCAAATGTGAGAACCAACTGTACTAAGGTATCTAAAGTCTGCCTCTCTGTTTGCTTCTCTATGTGTGATGTTACTCTGTCTCAGGGTTATGGTTTCTATACAATACAAAGGCCTGGTCATGGAATGGAAACGGCTTTGGTTTCCTTCGTGGATGACCTCCGCAGAGAGCATTACAGGGGGAGTGCATCCCTGTTGGTTCTCTTGGGCATCTCAGTGGCTTTTGACACCATCGATCATGGTATCCTCCTGGGCCAGCTCACCGGGATGGGGCTGGGGCACACTGTTTTGCAGTGGCTCCAGTCCTTCCTGAAGGGCCAGTCCCAAAAGGTAGTTCTGGGGGACTCTTGCTCAACCCCCTGGCCTTTGTCCTGTTCTATCCCCATGCTCTTTAACATCTACATCAGTGGTTCTCAACCTGTGAGTCCCCAGGTGTTTTGGCCTACAACTGCCAGAAATCCCAGCCCGTTTACCAGCTCTTGGGATTTCTGGGAGTTGAAGGCCAAAACATCTGGGGACCCACAGGTTGAGAACCACTGATCTACATGAAGCCACTGGGTAAGCTCATCTGGAGTTTTTGAGTGCAATGTCACCTCTATGCCGATGACACCCAACTCTACTTCTCTTTTCCACCTACTCCAAGGAAACCATTCTAATCCTAAACGATTGCCTGATGGCAGTAACGAACTGGATGAAGGTGAACAATCCTGACAAGACAGAGGTCCTCCTGGTCACTCAATAGGCCGATCAAGGTATAGGGTTACAGCCTGGGTTAGAAAAGGTTATGCTCCCCTTGAAGACACAGGTTTGCAGCTTGGGTGTTCTCCTGGATTCATCACTGATCCTGGAGACCCAGGTGTCAGCAGCAGCCAGGGGAGCTTCGCACAATTAAAACTTGTGTGCTAGCTGCGTCTGTACCTTGAGAAGTAGAACTTAGCCACAGTGGTTCCTGCACTTGTCATGTCAACATTGGATTACTGTAATGTAGGGCTGTATGTAGGGCTGCCCTTGAAGACCATTTGGAAACTTCAGCTGGCCCAAAGACTGGACTGCCATATAGGGAGCTGTCAACTCTCTTATTGCAGCAGCTCCACTGGCTACCAGTTTGCTTCCTGGCGCAATTCAAGGTGCTAGTGTTAACCTTTAAAGCTCTGAACAGTTCACACCCAACTTATCTATCCGACTGCATCTCCCAATATGAGCCTGCTCGAACTCTACAATCTGCTGGGGAAGCTCTACTCTCACTCCCACCCACATCTCAGGTGTGGTTGGTGGGAATGAGAGGGAGAGCCTTCTCAGTGGTGGTTCCCCAGCTCTAGAATGCTGTCCCAAGGGACATCAGAATGGTTCCCTCCCTGTTATCCTTCAGAAAGCTTTTGGGAAAGACAATGGGTAACCATGTTATATGGATATTGTATTCGAATATTGCAATGAGATGAAATTGACTTTTAATATAATTGGTTTCAATATGGTTGTAATACTGTTAATCGTGTTTTAATTTTTGTGTTTGTGAGTTTATGTGTTTTCTATTAGTATTGTGTTATGTTGAATGGCATCGAATTGTTGCCGAGTGTTAGCCGCTCTGAGTCCCTCATTTATTTATTTATTTATTTGGGGTTCTTTTACCCCGCCCTTCTCATCCCGAAGGGGACTCAGGGCGGCTTACAAAAGCAAGGCACAATTTGATGCCTGCATCATAAAACAATCAAACACAAAATTACATCAATACACAGTTAACACCAAATATACATTATAACCATAAAATCAATAAAATCAATAAAACCAAATACAAACCCAATTTCTCCTCTTACATGGTCAGCGTTCGCTACTCATAGATCTAGTTTTACGTTCCACTTCATCAGTCCTGCTGGTCTTACTCGCCTGGTTGTCTGATTTAATTGCCGGAGTGCCCAAAGGCCTGGTCCCATAACCAAGTCTTCACCCTTCTCCTAAAGGCGAGGAGGGATGATGATGCCCTGATTTCCCCCGGGAGTGATGATGATGCCCTCCTCAGTGAAGGAGAGAGGGCGGAATATAAGACAAAGTAAATAAAATAAATAAATAAGTTTAAAGAAGAAATAATTCCCTTCACTGAATGTATTTATATCCAAAGGAACATTCTGAATGCCCAAGAACATTAAATTAAACTAGTTTTAAGACATTTAGATTCCTCTGGATTTGTAAAATATCCAACTCTTATAGGCAGCCATGGTTATAAATCCTTCTAATGTTATTAGGTTTTCCCTCTCAGGAGTGATCTGTAAGAACACACCTGTGAATAAAAACTTTAACACAGGAAGTGGCCATAGGTTATTCAGTAGCTGGAATTCAAGGGTGGCTTTATTGTAAATGCTACTTCTGTAGGTTAAAACTTCGAAAGAAAAACAACCTGTTCATATATTCTGAAGTTCATAACACTGTTATTTATCATAGGAACTAAACTTCAAGTGTGTCAAAAGTAATTTCTTTGAGGAATAAAATGTGGTACTTTGGTTGGAAACTAAGGAAATTGTTCAGCAATATTATACTCCAAGAGCTGGGATTTTTTTTTATAACTTTCCCCTTGTTTTAAATTAAGGCTTTGCCCACATCAGCTTCTGTCTGTGGCATACATCCCAAGGCACAAGCAGTGGGTATAATCATGTACTCTATCCCTGAATTTGTTATTAAAGAGCTTTATTGCAGTGTACCTCAAAGGTACATGGCCTCATATCTCTGAGTAACATTTACTGAATTTTTAGGAAACCTGGCCCATCTACCTAGTGTGCAATGTTCTCAGCTGCAATTGAATATTTGTTTTTTGGGTTATAATCCTGTACACATTAATCTGGGAGCACAACCTTAAATGTTAGTTCTAAGAAGAGTGAATATACTACCATTCTGAAGTTATACAGAATTGAGCAGTGGATCCCAGTGTATCATCCTATCATTCACTGGATTTAGGGGCTAAAGATCCCTATGAATGTGAAAAATTGTGAATAAAGACAATGCTATATTATTACCTGAAAGAACTTCTCTCTAGAAATTTGTAGGCCTTTCTGCATGACTCTATGGGTGACTTGGGCTAGAAGCTAATCTCAGAACGGCACAAGAGGATCTAGGCCTCTTCCACACAGCTGTATAAAATTCACATTAAACTGAGTTATATGGCAATGTGTCTCAGATAATCCAGTTCAAAGCAGATATTGTGGATTATCTACTTTGATATTCTGGGTTATATGGCTGTGTGGAAGGGCCCCTAGTCATTCCTAGAGAGGTATTCCCTCTAGAATTATCTAGGTCCTCCAACATGACTAGAGAAAGCTGATTATAGAAACATACTGGAGGATATTTTCAATCAAATCCATTAATAATCAAATTCACAAAAAGTCAAAACCACACATGGGGAGGGACAACTGTCTTCATTCCCCCTGAGAGTAACTTTCCAAGCTCTATCTGGGAGTATGTCCCACTGAAATTAAAAACTTATACTCCCAAATAACTATGCACAGTCTCACTGAGAATACCGTAAAAGCATAAGGACAAATATAGAAACAAATGAGAGACAACAAAGAACAAGGAACAAAGGAAACAAATTGCTCTGGCCCAGACAGACCCTAATCTTCTAGTGTTCCAAAAAAAGCAACTTTGGTATGAAATTAATTTGAGGAAACTTGAATGCTCCACTGTTTTCCCCCATGTGAAAAGTCTATTCTGTTACATGGAAGCTTGTAAAGGAATGACTGACTTTTAACATTCCACAGCTACCACTTTGTTTTCCTTTGATTACTGGCCTAAAAATGGTACTATAAATAAAATGAAAATAAGCAATCACCTATGTGAAACAGAAATGAACTAAATTTGACATCTCATGTCAGTAATCAGTATTGCTAAACAGGAAAGGAAAGGCCAGAATCCAACTTACTTGTTCTTACACTGAGAGAAGGCAGTTTCTCCAAGAGTCCATCCACTCTCCCTTGTGTCTATATCTCAATTTGCTTGAAGGAACTGGCTGAGAAACCTTTGGAGAGTAGTTTCTGGTTCTGTAGAGGTCTGGAGAAAGGAAGGAGAGAAGAATATTTTATCACAAGTGCAGGAAGAGGACGCAGTCACCCATTACTCCATCTTCTAATAGGATTTCTTTCTACAGCTTAAGTAGCCATTTGGATCCTGGCCAAAGTAGTCGTGTTGACACATACAGATATAGTGGCATACTCTTAAGTACTATGGGACCTTGGAGGCTTGTTGCTAGTTCTTGATTTGTCACAGGAGAAGATGTTAGGCCTTTGTGGTCACAAGCATTTAACTTTTTATACCAGCTCCCTGGGTCAGTTTATTTTAACCCAATGTAAAAGGAGAAAGGTCAGGAACAAAATCTGGGAGGTTTCAATCTATCTGGATACACTCTCTGTGATATGAGCAACCGGAAGACATGAATAGCAGCATAAGCTAATTATTTTACATAATAAATATTTAAAACAATTATGATACAAAAATGTATATTTGCTCTGTGATATAATTTTCCTCACATTCCAAAATTTAAGATGCTCTTCATGGGAATGCTGACATCCCTCTGCCTAATAGACAATACAGCATTGGGAAGCAAGTGACCAATCCAAGATCTAACTTTCAAAAGCACTTAATGGCCTGGACAAACATACTGTGTTTGCATCTAACATTTATGATTTTCTTTGTGCTCTCTGGTCCCTGTTTCATCACTATATGAGTTTACGTTGACTTCACAGAGGGAGTCCTTTTGGTGAAGGCCTGTGGGATGTGGAACAGCCTTATGGAGGAGGTTCAATAAATGTTTGGTTTCAATTGGCTTTTAGAATGTGATATTTGGCCAGTTGCTTGAGTTATGAATGATATGGGTTTTATAAATAAGGGATGTTATGAATTTTCATGTGCTTGTAAGCTGTCTTACAATGTGGTAGGATATAAGTATGTCATATTAAATAAAGAGGTGATGGAGAGGGACTTTTTATTCACTTAATTGCTAGGAGCATCTGCATATCTCCATCCCAGTAAAAGTGCAGTGAACCAAAGACTCATATTCTAGAACAGAGGTTCCCAGCCTTTTTGTAAGCAGGGCCCACTTGACCAGGGCCCACTTGAATGCGGACCATTTGAACGGGGACCACTTTGATCAGGGATCACTCTCCAACATTAGTTTAACTAAAATGTATATTGAAACCTAGAGATACTTTACAGTAACATGAAAGAAATATTTCATGGGCACAGAGTAGAATTATATCATGGGCACAAAATGGAATTATATCCAAAGAATATATGAGAAATGTTTATATAGAAGACAGAGAATAAATAAAAATTAAATCAACAATACAGAATTCAAAATAGTTATTTCACAGTTCCCTCTACCTTCTTGCCCCATTAAATCCTATTAAAACAATAGTAAAGACAGTGGCAGAAAACTGCATAGCACAGCATAGTGCAGTACAATCCATATTTGCAAAGGTTCAGGGAATGTCCTCATTGTGAAAGGCCCTGTGGATCCAGAATAGAAATTCACAATAATTTACAGATCCACCACCAAGACTTTATCTCTGGAAGACAATCATACTCGGTCTTGGGTGAATATCCATGCTGGATCCTCCAAGGATCTCAATTGATAACGTTCTCATCTCATGTACGGGTATGGAGGCAGAGCCATATGTTTCTCTGATCTTTACCATTCTCTACCTGCCATGAAATAAGTGTGAGTGTGTGCACAACAGCAGCTCAACCATACGTTCCAGAAGGGCTTTTGATGTTGCATAGAGAGGAGCGGAATACCAATCTCCACAATGATAGGAAAAGAGACATACAGTATACTCACATTAAAGGTGCACTTAGGTTTGCATGTGCCACTAACACAATGCCAGACACAGTATGTTTTTAGGATTGTGATACACTCACATAGTTCAAATCAAATGTCTTGATATGTGATTTAATATGACTCTGCAGACAGAAATACTTTTATATGAATTTTATAAGTAACTATTGATTTAAGATGTAACTTTATATTCCTTATTTGGTTTGTGATTTCTGCTGCCCCACCCCCACCCCCTTTTTTAATATGCAGAACTTTGGGGGATTAGAGAGGAAAACAGAGACCACCAAACATCCCCAACAATTTCCTGTGGTTTGTGGGCTGCAGTTTCTCAAATTCTTCTCCACTGAATGCTGTTTTAGCACCTTGTAATGCTGAATATGTGGGATGATCCAAAGGGATGGTATACTAGAGAAGCATTTGTTGTTTTAGATACATAAACTTGAATGTTTAGATTTCATATATGGATAATATTCTATATTAAATTCTGAAACATAGTGAAACAACACCTAGAGTATATTTTTAAATCTGATTTTTCATCTCAATTGTATTTCCCACAGGCTGGATCAATTTTGATCATTTCACCTTTTAGTATTTTGAAGATGTATTTGCAGGATAATTTTTATAAAACTGTCTAGTTCATTAGAAGAGCCATATTGGATCAGACTAAACATCTATCTAGTCCAAAATTCTGTTCACAACATGACCGAATGGTTACCTATGGAAGCTTTGCAGAAGAATGTTAGTGTAACTTTATCTTGGTTTTTGTGTTCTCTAGCTACTGGCATACATAAACTTGTATTTTTTTAGTACTGATTATTGTCATTCTGACTAATACCCATTACTGGTCACAGAGCGGGAAATGTTATCAAGGGTCATCTAGCTCAACCCTCTACAAAGGCACTGAGTCCCTGCTAAAGAATCCCTCAGAGATGGATATCTGTTTATAGACCTTCAACCAAAGGAAGTCCACCACCTTCTGAGGCAATGTATTCCCCTGCTAAACATTCTACTGCTAGGAAGTTCCTCATCTCCATGAATTTATACACCTCCCTTTAAAGCAATTCATTACACTCACAGATTTGAATTTGGCTCCAGAGGCAGATTAATGATAGGAACAACAGTTTTCATACTTTTGCATCCAGCAGAAATAATAATATTAATACTAAGCAATTTCTATCTTTTTCTCCATGACTTCCTAGAGAACACTCTAAGAAATATTACACTAACTGAAGTAGCTGGAACTAGCAAATAAATCTTGTGTGTTCTTAATTCTTGGTCCTTTAATTCTGGGCATCATAAGTCAAGAAGGATATTGACAAAGCTAGAATGTGTCCAAAAGAAAAGTGACCAACATGGTAAAAAGTCTGGAAGCCAAGTCATACAATGAGTGGCTCAGGGATTTGGGTAGGTATGTTTAACTTGGGGAAGAGAAAGTTAAGAGAGGACATGATAGCCATGTTTAAATATGTGAAAATATGTCATATTAGGGAGGGGGCAAAGTTGCTGCTCTAGAGACTAGGACATGGAGTTGCAGGAAAAGAGCTTCCCCTAAACTTCCTGATGGAAACAGCTGCTCAACAGTGGAATATACTGCCAAGGACTGTGATGGAGTCTCTTTCTCTGGAGGTTTTAAAACAGAGACTGGATGCCCACATGATGGAACTGCTTTGATTGTGGATTGTGCAGGGCAAAACTGGGCTAGACTTGATGGCCCTTGGCTCTCTTTCAACTTTATAACTCTATCATTCTATAAAATGCAATCTTAATTTGCCAAGATAGCCAAGGACCACCTCAGTCGACATTAGGCCATATGAAACTATGCTGAATCCAAGCCCTACCCAGTGTAGGGATGTTGGAAATTATTTAAGAATATTCTTGCTAAATTACTGTACTTAGGATGGGCCATTTTGTGTTGGCACTATGGCTACATTCCTGGCCTGGTATTAGTTTGGGCCTGGTGTAATCCAGCCCCTCCATCACTCTGTACCTCCCTCTTTTGTGTTTGTCTTCTGCAAGCAGATCTTAAAGAACTTGTCAGGCAGAACTTTTCTGTTGGTTATTGCTAGATGGACCAGCAAAAGGGTTTGAACCCATAGGCCCTGGAAGGGGGAGTGAGGAGGAAGGCTTGAACCTTCCCAAATCTATGCTAAGGGATTTGGGTTTCCCTGAAACAGACATCAAAGATCAGGACCAGCAAGACTCCAAGTAACCCTCCCTCTCTGAGGAACTACCAATCAGTAACATTCTAATTGATAGCCATCTTTGCATTCCATGTATAGAGTTATATCTATTTTCCCCATGCCTGGCTGCATTAATGTAATGCTTTAAGCAATTATATAATATTTCATTTATTATTTTCTCATTGTCTTCCTTGTACTCACATTGTTAATGGATTTACTTGGTGTAATCTATGTTTTTGCTGGTTTGTAAAAACATACATGCAAGTACACAAAATTCACAATGACCTGTTTGCCTGTTTAGAAGAACCTTAAAAACATTTCCTGAGTCTCCACTTGTATTTAATTCTAGCTCTTTATACAGGTAGCACAGCTTCGTATTAGGACTGCTCTGCAGATAGACCTGGGATTTCCTCTCCTCGTGCGTCCACCACAGCACAAACTAGAGTTGCCATTTAAATACCATTATACACTTGAGACAACCTTAAGTTGTCCATAAACCAGTCCTGACTACAGCTCCTTGGAAGGTAATGGCATCACATTATTGCCTATATGAATGTGCAATTAGTAGTTCAACTATCTTCAATGTTTTAAGAATTTGTTTCAGGGAACCCCATCCTTTGTCTGTTCAGTGCTGTTCCTGTTGTAGTACAATGGACCACCACACAAGAATCAACCATAAGGGAAGTGTTGCTCACAGACTGAATTATGGAGTGAAATGAGACATCAGCTAAAAATAGCACATATATAGGGTGGCATCTATAGTTGGTTCAACCTGTTGTATATAAATTATTAGAGCTCGAATATCACTCTTTTTGTCACATGTTCAGTTAAACTAATTGAAAACTAAATGCAATGGAAATGCATTATTTAAATAAACAGATAATGTGTGTAAATGAAAACTACATTTTAAAATAATATATTATAAAACTGCACATAGAGTGAAACATGCATCTTGTCATATAAGTTAGGTATAGAAGCTCAGGATATTTTCCACTCTAGTAAGTAAGAGAGTGTCTAAACACATAATTAAGAAGAATTACTAAAGATCTTCTACAGTTTTGTAAAAAACAACAACAAAATAATGCAATATGTTAAGGTTCAATGCATCTGATGAAGAAATAGAAAATAAAGGTATAAGATTAATTTAACAGGGCTTTCTACCCAAGAGGAATATTTAACCTAATATAGTGCAGATGTCCTTATTGCATTAAAAAGCTATCTGAATCTAAAGTTACGTTTGCAATATTTCACTGTATGTTAACTTCAGGAACCCATATATTTTCTATAGTTATGGCTAATTCCCAATTAGAGAACAGCATATGGAGAATAACAGCATAATCTGATTTTATCGTATGATGCAGTCTGGTTCATTTTGTAAATAAAAAGTTTAGACGATCGACACATATTAATATAACACCTAATTGTAACACAAAATCAAGGCTAAATAGAAAGGTTTTAAAAATACCAACAACAAACATGTACATAGTTATCATTTGTACCAATTGTCTGACTGAAATAAGGATCAGTGGCAGAGGAAAGCTTTTCCAACTTCAAAACAGTCAACCCTTCCATGGAAGGAGATATTTGGACTTAACAACATATACTGTTTCTTTAGCTGCACAGATTGTTCAATAGAAAATATACTGCAGTTCAAGTGTTTCAGCATTATGATATAAACAAACTTGTACCTGTGTGCCATCCTGTGCCCAGGAGCTAAACAAAAACAATCAAGAATGCTGGAAAAGAAGCCTGTTACATATATGGCTATAACCATGATTAACAGACTGCTCAGATTTTTCCTGGGCTCTTGAAGTTAACGGTGCTGAACACGATCCACATTACGAAGCCACTTGCGTCTCTTTCTGATATGGATCCAAGGTGCCAAGCATGACGAGGAGACTTGGGCGTGAAAACCAGTGCTGTCAGCCTTTGTAAATTAGGTAAATTAGAAATTGTTTGATGGCATTCTATTGTTGCCATTGTAATCACAGTAATTTTCATTGGTAATGGTGTTTCGTGATGAAGTGGGTTTTTCACAGAATAATTGTGAAAGGTATTGAAAAAAATCAGGATGTAGCATCTGGCTGCAAAAAGCTCTTCAGATTCAAATTGGCATTATATTTTATCTTGAAAATTTATTACAGATTCCAATCATGCCATTTTATGAGGAAAAGGTGAAAGCAGAGTAATTTTGTTCTATGAATTATTCATAATTATTCAGACTGGGTAAGATTGCCATCCAGGCACTGATTTCTCTGACAGTTTCTTCTGCTGAGCCTCCATTACGCTTGTCATTTTTATTTCTTTTATCTACGGTTGCTTTTTAAGTTACTGAACTTGTCCCTTAGGATTTCCTCTTCGGGGGGAAAAAGCCCCTGAGTATTTCAGATCAGCAAGAATGCAAAAGATGTGATCCTTGGCTCAAATCGCAGTTTTCCATGAGCTGTCTTTCCCCTCAACAGCAATTTAAAAACCCACATCCACAACGGTGCATCTGAGATTCTCTGATTAGGTGTTTTAAAAAGAGAAAAAGACAAAGACAAAAATAAGCATGCAAAAACAAAAAGAGCATACTGCACTGAAGAAGAGTTCTGTCTTTCTTTCCCCCTGAAATAACAAGCCAGCATATAGTGATGGTTTGTGCTTCTTCCTTTGTTGTCAGTATAACCCATTCTAGCTGCATAGCATCACGCAGAACGAAACAACTGTGAGAGCAGGCAGACTTCAGTGCCCTTGTTTCCAACATGACGCAGACGAGGGCTACTCTCTTGACAGGCTAATCCACACAAATGTATACTTAAGAGACCCAAATTGCTGTTACTTATAGGAACGAAATGTTTGAATGGGGAAAAGTCAGCAGCAGCAGTTGGGTAGCAAAAGTGGAGCGTTCACAGGCTGAAACTGAAATAGATTGCAATCCCAGAAATCCTCCACTTGATGGCTGGCCGTGTCACTGCTAGTTGGCTGCTACCCTGCATCCATCCGAAGGGGCTGGTGTTGATTTAGGTCAAAGAGGCTGCTTTTCTGTTTCAGCTTTTTCTCTCACCGATATGAGAAAACTGTGGTTACTTATAGTAGCAGGATTGGCATATGACTCTGGGACACTTCAGACGGCTTCAGCGGTGCAGCACCTGAAGAAAAAGGGAGAAGAGGAAAGGAAATGTGGGGAGAAAGGCCCCAAACAGTAACAGGTATCCCCTCTTTTGTCCTGCTCCTTGCAGGTGCATACTGCGGTGGCAGGAGCACCTGTTCACCTACAAGGCAAAAAGCCAATCATTCTTCATTTGAGGCAGTTTAGGTAAAAGGCTCCAAGCAGTGTGTCTGCTTGAGTTCAGAGACGCTGCTAATGTCAGAGCCAACAGACACATCCAAGTGGCATGCTGCTCCTCCGTATAGCAAGGCAAGTAAAAAACGCACAGAAGCTTAAAGCAGATACTTTTCTCTCTTTTTTGGTTATAAAAATAATAAAACCTATCCTGCTCTGTGCCCAGTTCTAGGCATCTGCTTTGCCGCACTGCGACTAGAAAACTGCAGCTGTGAGAGCTCTGGCACTTGCGATAATGTAAAAGGCAGTAGCTCTGTGACAAAGCAGTCAGCTGACTTGCACTGTTATAATTCAATGTCCTCTCTTAAAAAAAATAAGGCCAGTTTCTAAGGTAGCACCAAAGGGATGACCTGGCATATCAAATCGCAGCCCCTCAAACTGGCAAGCAAGGACCTGGTGTCAGAATATTTCCTGCTTATCTCAACATCACGTTTCTTGTTTTGGGTTGCTCTGCACGGGACAGATACAGGGGTCTGTACTATTTTATAGTAAAGTTGTTTTCAGGCACATAAAATTGTTCCCAATATTTGGTAAGAGCCTAATCAATGAAGCCCTGGTTTGACACTTAGCAGAAGGGGATCAACAGATAGGCAGGCACTAGTTAATGAATGTTTATTATTTGCAACCAAGAATGTCCTGCCAAGTGTTTGTCATAGAAAATTCAGACTAAGGAGATTATTGCAAAAGGCTTGCAGGGTGCATTAAGCGCTTTCTAATTGCAAACGGAAGTGCTAATGATTGCACATCATTCTAAACCCACCTCAAAGCAGTCTTTTCAATAAACATGAAACTCCCATTTTTAGGCTTTAGAAGGCACTTCCAATGTGTTCCCAAAGGTGCAATAAGTGTAAAGCACTCCTGCAACAGGTTTTGGAAATGTATTTTGTGGGCATCACTGTTTAAACACTTCACTTCCCCATCCCCAACTTCCTTGCCATTCCACTTTTTGAGAGGACCTCTGACTGTAAAGTCATATCTTCCCATTTTGCGGCCTGTTTGCTTCTTTAAAATATATTAGAAACTGTGCAGTTGTGTGGGTAATTCCAAGCACTGATAGGGTTTTGTTTTCTTGATTAAGCATTTGCTTACTGATTGGAAGACTTCCTTTGTCCATTTTGCAAAAGCGCCAGCTCACTCATGCCTGTGGAGCCCTAAAAAAGGCTTGCCAATCATAACTGCACCTTACAGAATATATAAAATAGAGAAAACACTTGTAATTGTAGAATGCATTCTTTTTTTATTAATTGAAAGCATTTTGTCACTTTTTGCAAGACTTCATTCTTCCTTCTTTTCCAGAAGTTCCAGCTTGTACATTTCCATATAAGTAAACAAAGTTTGTCAATCAAAAGTTAACCTTCCCCTTGCAAAATACATAAAATAGAAAAGCTAGGATTTATATATAWAWATATATAMATATYTYTATATATATATATATATATAGTGTATATATATAAAAAAATATATAGTGTGTATATATATATATATAGTGTAWATATATATAYAAAATYTYTAGTGTGTGTGTGTGTYTYTYTATATATATATATATATATAGTATTTTAAGTGTTTGTATGGGCTGCTTGTGAACTCAGAAAATGTAGAAGTAATTAACTGTTAAGTCCAAATCATATGGGATTCGGAACTCTTGAAGTCGCACAATTCTTCTGGGGAAATATAAAAAGGGGTGAACATGGACAAAGAGAGGCAATGAATGGATTGGGGGGGGGGGGGAACTTACGTCCCAGCAGCTGTGATTATCTAAAAGTGCTTTCAGCTTTCTGAAAGCACTTATCAATAGGATTGTGCAATAAGAAGAGAAGCCATTATAGTGTGCCCCAGCTCTCAACAAATGGGTTTGCAACACTAAAGCCCATTTTAGATATCAGTGTAATGTTAATATATATTGTACAAGTTTAAAATGTCCATGCTTCTAGTTGTGAAAGAGTTAATATTTGGAAAATTATGAAGCATGCGTGGAACAGACAAGAAAGATGTTGCAATAGACTAGGAAACTGGACACTGAATTAATGAGCTGATAACAGTGGGGTGTAAATATAGCAATAAATATTTGGTCTTCTCCCTTTCATCTGATCATGCTAACAAGTAAGTGTTATTGCAATGAATAAAATGCAAATAAAGATAAAAGCCGCTACTGAAGAAGAAACAACTGTCTGAAGTCAGTTAATTGAATGATAAGAAGCAAGTTGGCTAGCAAATTGCACTGCCTTATGTGACAATGTCCTAAGCATATAAGGGACAAAAGTAAAAGTCTAATTGAAGTCACTTGCATCTCTAAGTTGGCAGTCCTTTGTTAGGTGACAAATGCTCATTAGAACTGCCAACTAAAAAATATGAGAGCTGCTGATGTTGCAAATCAGTTTTTAAATCAAGTCAATAGCACACTACACTGTTACAATGTTACTTTTCTACTTTAACTGACATGGTAACATTCTGTGGAATCTGGTGATAGGAATTTATTGAGGCCCAACAGCTCTCTAGCTTAGAATTCTAAATTCCCTTCCCTAAATTGTAAATTCCAGGATTTCATAGCCTGTTGCCATGGCAGTTAAAATTGAATCATAGTGCTATAACAGAGTAGTGTGATAAGGCACAGTGTGCTCACATGGTCAAAATTTAACAGTTTCAAACATTTTCAGTGTCATAGTGTTAAATAATGGCTCCCTGGGGAAAAAAATTCATGTCAGAAACAACTTGAGAAACTGCAAGTCACTTCTGGTGTGAGAGAATTGGCCGTCTGCAAGGATGTTGCCCAAGGGATGCCTGGATATTTGATATTTTACCATGCTTGTGGGAGGCTTCTCATGTCCCCTCATGGGGAGCTGGAGCTGACAGGGGAAGCTCAACCCACTCTCCCTGGATTTGAACTGCTGATCCTGCCAGCACAAGGGTTTAACCCATTGCACCATTCTGGGAATGAAAGGAGCACATTCCCTGTGAAAGAAGACTCCGTATTCTCCTGAAAGAACAATGTCTGGAACAAGGGAGGAGTTGTGTGGACCTTAAAAGGTACTGTAGGTTGTAAATAATAGCCCGCTTTCTCAGTTGCTATAGTCTTTTATTCACAAAATAATTCCTTTTGCAGGATTTCTGTTAGGAGCATATAACTTGAAATATCCTCTCCTCAAAAGTCTCCTTACAACCTAATAGAAATATAGCTGAGTTCTCAACACCTAGGAAAAGACAGTTATACTATGACTCCTGTATCCATAGGCCTACCGAGCTAGTTGAAAGCATGGATTTTAAACTCATGTCCTGTGCTTTGGTGTCTGTCTTATGTCATTGATGTGTATTTTATAGAAATGCTATGATATACATCTTTTATGAAACTGCATTTTAATATACATGTTTGCAGAATTTTTTTATAATATTTGTGTGTTTTTGATACCTGAAAATGGCGAATAATACTGAACTCTATAGTTTGACAATGTATGGTTTGGAAACCTACTACAGAATCACACTGGAAGATCTAAAGTTTCTAGAAGGAGAATATTTTTGGAGCATGGGTAAGTGAATCCATGGATATCAAATCCTTGCATAAGGAGATCATGCTATATATAGAATTCTCATAAAAGAAAAATTGGGGGATTAAATGCATCCTTTAAAAAAAAGGTCTTGGAATAACTTATAAATTGTTGGCAAAATAAATAGGAGTCAGAAACTTAAATGTAGCTGTACATTCCAGGTAGAATAGACTGATAAAAATCAGTGGAGTCTGGAATGACCAGTTTATCACATTTCCATTCATTCATCAGTTCTACCCTGGTGGAGGCTAACAATTGGATTTAATCCAGAAAAATACATTGAGCCAACTTGTAAACAATTTATGGAAATCTTTGGTTTATAGAGAAAAGAAATATTCCATGAAAACCACAAATAATTTTAAAACAAATATTTTCTTTTCATTAATTCCATATGTAGAAATGTCAACAAACTACAAATAAATGACTATTCTAGCAACAAAGTGTTCAGCGCTTTCCAGACCTACGTTAAATTTTAGTTGCTGAACAGATGTAACCATTCTAATGTACTTCCAGTATCAAGGAGCCAGTAGAGTGTAATGGTTTGAGAATTGAACTATGACTCTGAAGGCCATGGTTTGAATCCCCCTTCAGTCAAGGAAACACACAGGAAGATCTTTAGCAAGGCACACTTTCTCAGCCTCAGAAGAAAGCCTTTTGAACAAATTTTGCCAAGAAAATCCAGTGATAGGTTTGTCATTGTGTTATCATATGCCAGAAATGACACAACGGCATATAACAATGCATCTTTAGTATTACTTTGTCAAGTAGTATATGAAAGCATATCAAACGGCAGACATGCAAGCAATTAAATATCATAATTAATCTACACAGTCAGGTGCAGTGCACAGTCAGGTGCAGTATCCAAAGTTCTCTGTGGATTCCCTTAGTCGAACTTGTTCTTTCTTTTGTCCCAATTTTGACATTGCCTTTAAAAGATGGGAGAGGAAGATCATGGGCTCAAAATAAATTTCATTCGAAAGCCAACTTCAAGATTACATTCAGATATGTGATTACATCTACTTCACTCATCTCCTATCCCAAATTCAGCAGATGTCCACCTTTTGACAGTTTCCAAGATTTTTTAATCACACTTCGCATGACACAAATGGGATGCTCAGTTTTATACAGCGAGAAAATGGGAGCAAGCCAACTGTGAAACAATTCTATTGAAATCAACAGGGCATTTGAACTTCCAAGTGTCATTTCACACCTTGCATTTTTGTTTAATTGGTATCAGTGAAACATACTATAAAAATGGAAACCCCACATTTTGCTCTCTGATATGCTGTAGGAAAATGTTAACATATTAAGTTGACTGACATCTGGTCAACTTAAATGAAGTTAGGCGTTATTAACCACCTCAGATTCTGCCTTTTAATGGGCAAAGCAATGCCAAGGAGCAAATACTTGAAAGATCATAGATTGGAAAATGCTCAGTACATTTCCTTAAAGTATTTTTCTTTGCAAGGTGGATGAAACATCATGTTATCTGTGTTAGGGCTGCAAGATAACCAAAGAATCAAGAGCTTTATGTGTGGTTTCTGTCCCAGCCTTGAAAGATGCAGACTGGCCAGGAAATCAGAAGACGCTTTTTTCTTGGGAGGAGAGCAATGTCCAATCTCGATAAAATAGTAAAGAGTAGAGACATCACACTGGCAACAAAGATCCGCATAGTCAAAGCCATGGTATTCC